ACAAGGCCATGGTCAAAGTGGAAGTTCTCTCCTCCCTTCAGAGAAAGGTACCTCCTTCTTTGATGGCCTGTTCTTTCCACTGGGATCTCACTCGTGGAGATCTTTCATTTAGGTCATTTTTTTTTGACAGAGTGTCTTGTCTTTCCATGCCTGAAATACTCTCATGGGCTTTTCAGCCAGATCCGAATGCCTTAAGGGCTGATTCTGAGGCCAGAGTGCTGTTTAGGACATCTGCCATTCTATGAGTCTGCTGTGTATCCCGCTTCCCATGTTAGATCGTTCTCTCCTTTTTAATTCTATCAGTTAGTATTAGCGGACACTAGTCTTGTTTATGTGATCCCTTTGGCTCTTAGTCTTTTCCTTATGATCAATTGTGAACAGAAATTGATCACTTGGACTAGTGAGATGGCATTGGTACATGCCACATTGATGGGATTGAATGGGAATCCCCACGCACGTTTCTATATCTATCATTTGGGGCAAGTCCGATTGAGCATGGGCCAAACTCTACATCTCCTCTCTCTCTTATTCCCACTCTTATATTTAACAGGGATCACTTTTCAGTTAAGTTTCAACACTTAAGAATAACTGTATTAATTACAGAATTCAACCGATAGTATAAAGTATAACAAACAAAAAAAAATACTAGGAGGGATAAAGTATTAAGTTGTTCATCAACAGTTAGGGCAAGGGCTGATCAAGTCACCGTTTCTCATAGTGTCCATTTCACTTCAACAGGTTTCCTTTTTGTTGCTCGGTTAGTTGTCACCAATCAGGGAGAACATATGATATTTGTCCCTGTGGGACTGGCTTATTTCACTCAGCATAATGTTTTCCAGATTCCTCCATTTTTTTGCAAATGACCGGATTTCATTGTTTTTGATTGCTGTATAGTATTCTGTAGAGTACATATCCCATAATTTCTTTATCCAGTCTACTGTTGATGGGCATTTAGGTTGATTCCTGGTCTTAGCTCTTGTGAATTGAGCTGCAATAAACATTAAAGTGCAGACCGCTTTTTTGTTTGTCAATTTAATTTCCTTTGCGTAAAATCCAAGGAGTGGGATGGATGGGTTGAATGATAGGGTTATATTCAGGTTTCTGAGGAATCTCCAGACTGACTTCCATGGTGGCTTAACCAGTTTACATTCCCACCAACAGTGGATTAGTGTCCCTTTTTCCCTACATCCTTGCCAGCATCTGTTGTTGGTAGATTTCTGAGTGTGAGCTATTTTCACTGGGGTGAGGTGAAACCTCATTGTGGTTTTGATTTGCATTTCCCTGATTGCTAGTGATCTTGAACATTTTTTCATGTGTCTGTTGGCCATTTGGATTTCCTCTTTTGAAAAATATCTATTGAGGTCCTTGGCCCATCTTTTAAGTGGGAAGTTTGTTTTGTTTTTGTGGAGTTTTTTGATTTCTTTGTAGATTCTGGTTATTAATCCTTTATCTGTTGCATAGTTTGCAAATATTTTTTCCCATTCTGTCGGTTGCCTCTTCACTCTCCTGACTGTTTCTTTTGCCGTACAGAAACTTCTCAATTTGATGCAGTCCCAATAGTTAATTTTGGCTTTGACTGCCTGCGCCCCTAGGGTCTTTTCCAGGACGTCTTTGCTGGTGCCAATATCTTGCAGGGTTTCTCTAGTGTTCTCTAATAACTTGATGGTGTCAGGACGTAGATTTATGTCTTTAATCCATGGTGAGTGGATTTTTGTGTAAAGTGTAAGGTAGGGGTCTTGCTTCATGCTTCTGCATGTGGAAATCCAATTTACCCAGCACCATTTATTGAATAGACTGTCTTTGCTCCAGGAATTGGTTTTAGATCCTTGATCAAATATAAGTTGGCTGTAGATGTTTGGATTGATTTCTGGTGTTTCTATTCTGTTCCATTGGTCTATCCATCTGTTTCTGATAATTAGCAGTACTAATCACCATTAATATCACCTAATTTATTTATTTTATGATAAATTTTATTGTGTATATTTAGATGCACAAGATGGGATACATGTTGATAGTAAAATGGTTACTTTAGTGAAGCAAATTAATAAATCCATCAGCTTATATAATACCTATTTTTGGTTTGTTTTGTGTCAAGAGCAGTGAAGATCTGTTCATCTAGCAGGAATGACAAATGCTGAATAATTTTATGTTTTTAGTCCTCATGTTGTGTTTTAGATCATCCTACGTTGCTGCTACTTTTTAACCAATGACCTACAGACCCCAGTTTCCCAGGTGGCCCCTGTAACTTCTGTTTCATTCTCTATCTATGAATATTTGAAAGTTTAGATTCCACATACAAGTGAGAGAAGTCAATATTTTCTCTGATGTATCTGGCTTATTTTACATAGCATACTGTCATCCAATTTCATCCATGTTATGGCAAATGGCAGTAATATCCATTGTATACAGCATATTTTGTTTTTCCATGCATCTAATCATGGACATTTAGGCTGTTTTCATATCCTGGATATGAATAGTGTTGCAATGAAAATAGGATTCAGTTATCTTTATAAGATGACAATATTAACTCCTTTGGGTGGATTCCCATAAAAGGGGTTGCTGGGTCCTATGATAGGTTTATGTTTAATATCTTTAGGAACCTTCATACCTTTCTCCATTAGTGCATCAATCTACATTCCCATGATTTCCTTTTCTCTACACCCTCACCAATGTCTGTTATCTTTAAACATTTTGATACTACACATTCTTATGGTTTTGACATGATATGTCATTTTTAATTTGCATTTCATTGATGTTTAATGATGTTGAACACTTTTTAATTTTTTTTAACTTTTATTTAATGAATATAAATTTCCAAAGTACGATTTATGGATTACAATGGCTTCCCCCACATACCGTCCCTCCCACCCACTACCCTCCCCTTTCCCACTCCCTCTCCCCTTCCATTCACATCAAGATTCATTTTCGATTATCTTAATATACAGAAGATCAGCTTAGTATACATTAAGTAAGGATTTCAACAGTTTGCTCTCACACAAAAACATAAAGTGAAAAATAATAGATGATTTTTTAAAAATGATGATGAAATCAGATCAGACCTATTGTCATGTTTAATCCCAGTGAGAGTCAAGTTGGGAGTTGACAACTCAAGATATATTTTCATTTCATTTTTTTTTTAGACAGAGGATCAGTTTAGTATACATTAGGTAAAGATTTCAACAGTTTGCACCCCCATAAAAACACAAAGTGAAATATATTGTTTGAGTACTCGTTATAGCATTAAATCTCAATACACAGCACATTAAGGACAGAGATCCTACATGAGGAGTAAGTGCACAGTGACTCCTGTTGTTGACTTTACCAATTGACACTCCTGTCTATGGCATCACTAGTCTCCCTATGCTCCGGTCATGAGTTTCCAAGGCTATGGAAGCCCTCTGAGTTCTCCGATTCTTATCTTGTTTAGACGCAGTCATAGTCAAAGTGGAGGTTCTCTCCTCCCTTCAGAGAAAGGTACCTCCTTCTTTGAAGACCTGTTCTTTCCACTGGGATCTCACTCACAGAGATCTTTTTGCCAGAGTGTCTTGGCTTTCCATGCCTGAAATACTCTCATGGGCTTTTCAGCCAGATCCGAATGCCTTTAGGGCTGATTCTGAGGCCAGAGTGCTATTTAGGACATCTGCCATTCTATGAGTCTGCTGAGTATCTCACTTCCCATGTTGGATCACTCTCCCCTTTATTTATTCCATCGGTTAGTGTTAGCAGGTACTAGACTTGTTTATGTGCTCCCTTTGACTCTTAGTCCTTTCATTATGATCAATTGTGTTAGTTTTTTTTACAAATTCAATGTGCTTTGCAGCTACAATTCTTTTTTTTAAGATTTGTTTTACTTATTTGAAAGACAGAGTTACAGAGAGAGGTAGAACCAGAGAGAGAGAGAGGTCTTCCATCTGCTGTTTCACTCCCCAAATGACTGCAATGACCAGAGCTTAGCTGATCAGAAGCCAGGAGCCAGGATTTTCTTCCATGTTTCCCACATGGGTGCAGGGGCCAAAGAACTTGGGCCATCTTCCACTGCTTTCCCAGGCCATAGCAGAGAGCTGGATTAGAAATGGAGCAGTGGGGACTTGAACCGGCACCCATTTGGGATACTGGCACTGCAGGCTGGGGCTTTAACCCTATGTGTGACAGTGCCGGCCCCATTTGCAGATATAAGTCTAAGAACAGATTAATAGTCCCTTCTTTCCTTCTTCCCTCCCTCCCCCTCGGTTGGTTTTGAGCACTTTTAAGTATACCTTTTGGGCCATTTTTATGTCCTCTTTGGAGAAATGCCTATTCAGGTCCTTTTTTAATATGGCTTCATTTAATTTTGTTATTATGAGGCTTTACTATGTGTCTATTAGCAGTATTAATGTGCATAAAAGTAGTCACAGTACCATTTCTTACCACATCAAGTCACTCATTTTCTTTTAGCAATATGAATTGGTCTCATTTCCTTAGTTTATTTAGTTTGGTATATTTTTGTTTAATAACAACTCTAGGAACAAAACAGCAAAGATATACCACCTTATCTATGAATGATTGCTGTATATAATGGTGGCCACAATAAATCTATGGCTTTCATTTCCTATGTGGAAAGTCATTTTATACATAAAGATAGAGTAAGTACAAGAAATGTATAAAATATTGGGTTATATTTATTCAGATATCAGAGTTGATTGTACTGTAATATAAAAATTTCAATATAATTGTTTTGTGACAAAATATGTTACATCTAATTTGTTTCAAGCATCCTGTATGTCAGAAGGATCCAATTTCTCACACCCCTCTCCTAATGTATTTGTACAACAGTGATTTCTCCTGAATCCCTTGGATATATAAAGTAATGTGATATATTGGAAGGAAATGTGTCCAAGTCAAAATTTTTGCATGGTTTATGACAACCATAATTAATTATATGTAGTGTTCTGGAGTTCATGACACATTTCTATCATATTAATTGAAAAACTATTAATGTAACTATATGTTTTTCATTATAGTGAGTGGACATCCGGTACTCAAGAGAGCCAACATCCGAGTTGTTGGGAAGTTGGTGGCAGCATCCATAAGAGAAAGGAAAACGAAACTACACTATAAATCATGAGAAGTTGTAACACAATGCTGTTAACCTTTAATAGTTGAACCTATCTATCCAAAGACACAGGAAAACAATGGCCATGATTTCATTCTCAATCAACAAGAAAAAAGACAAAACCATTGATTGAATCATCATCATCATCAAAAAAATCTGTTTTATCATACTGATGTGAACCCATGTAGTGTCAAGTATTTCTTTCATTGAATTAAAATTTGTTTTCTTCCATTATCAATAAATTCCACTAAGAAACATCGGAATTCTTATTTCTAAAATTCATAGTTCTTGTATAAAGTATTGTTGATTTCATCTTTTTTCTTCTTTAAGAAGTGAAAATTGTGTGATATTTTGCTGAAATCATATGTCAAGGAATTTATTTTTCAGAATATATTTCATCACTTAAATATTTTGGAAATGTTTTCACAAAATATGTTTTGTGGAGCAAGTGCTGTGGTGCAGTGGGGTAAGCCGCCACTTGGGATGCCCATTTCCCATACTGGAGTGCTGGTTGGAAAACTAGTATCTCCACTTCTGGGCCAGCTTTTTGTTCATGCATCCTGGGAGGCAGCAGATAATGGCTGAAGTGCTTGTGTCCCTGCCAGAAATGGTGGAGCCCATACAGAGTTCCTACTTCTAGCTTAAATCTTACCCAGCCCTGGTTGTAATGGCATTTGAACCAGTGGGTGGAAGATCTCTCTCTCTCTCCCTCTCTCTCTCTCACTCTTTCTCTGTGTGTGTATATTATTCTGGTTCTGAAGTAGATGACAATAAACTTTTAAAAATTATTTGAACTTGTTTTAGTGTAGTCATGGCATTATTTTTATATTTTATTATTATTATTTTATACATTGCTCAGTATAAAATGAAAATGTGAGAGTTAAATACAGTATTTCTGAGTTTAGTAACCTGATTATTTAAAGGACATGAAAAAAAGCTAAACGAATGCACAATTAAAAGAAAAAAATCACACATGATTTGGATATCGTTATTGTAACAGATCATTAGCCTGCTCCTTGTAATAGCATTGTTAGGATAAAAAATTGGCCAGATTATCTACCTCAGTTCCAAAAACAAAACCATTAAGTTGTAATGAAAGCACTTAAAACCTAAATACAGGATTTCTTAGCATTCTAGAATTATTATTTCAAGTGGTAAGTATATATAAGGAAAAATTAACATGAAAATTATCAAAATTACTTTATAAAGTTAAGCTAATATGACAATTTGAGGCAATAGACAAAAGTATTTCATTTTTTCCTTTACTAGAATATTATTGGTTTTTACTCATGTGTCCTTGATTTTTAGAGAACTGAAGTAGGGCTACTCATGTCCTTTAAAGGTGTAATCCTACATGAAGTTCAGTGGTAACATGTCACTGTAGATCTGTAGAAGACAGTGTAAGGTCATGGAAAGAAGCCTTCACTTTTCAATAGTTGGTCTCTGAATAAAAATTGGCACTTGATGCTCATCAAAGAACAAGAAATATTGGACATGCTCTAAATGTCCATTGTGTTTTTGAGCCAACTACCTGATGGAAGTCATCACTTATATGTAAATGAACTGTCAATGGCTTGCCACAGTTGGCAATCACTGGACTGTGAAGGGTATGTCTTAATAGGAACTGAAGCTCTTCACAGACTTTGATTTACTGGAAATAAAATAGAAAAGTCCTCTGAGACTACAAAGGACACTTGTTTCAGATAAAACGTCTAGACAGTAGCAATATATTTAGGGCTTTTATTATAGCAAAACTGCAAATTAGAATGGAGTGGTGAGAAAGTTCTTATGACCCAGCTGAATTCTAAAACACTGCTTCTGACTAGACTAATACAATCTTTAAAGTATCTAAGCCAAATTAAATAAAAGTGCATTAAGGGGAAAAATCAGACATAATGCAAGGTCAAGATTCAAGTTTGTTACATCTTTTAAATTGTTTATGTCTTCGGTTTTACATTTTCTTATAAATCTGTATTGTTCTTAATAAATGTGGCTATTAGAGGAGTTGAAAGCCAAACTCACATGAACTAGCAACATAAATTACTTCTCAAAAAATTAAATTAAGGAAACTCTGATAATTTTAAATTAAGAAAATTTTTTCTCATCTATCTATTACTTTCTTAACTCTCATTCCAAAGCACAGATACAATTAACACAATATGCAACACTGTGTAACTATTAATATTTTCTTAATGTTGCTAATACCAACAATACATTTGTAAATTGCTTTAGGATTCTCACACAAATATAAACTATAGATGGAACAAATTTTTTTGTTAACTACTTTCTCCTTAGACACTCAGAAGTTTGTAAGTCAGAGTAGGCTAACAGCGTTAAAAACCAATCCTAAAAATCATAGTGTTTAAGGTAATAATTTCATCTTCCCCACTTCACAATCCAGTGAGAGTTATCAGGGACTCTGTTCCATTTAGTCTTTCAGGAAATCAGGATTTTTCTTTCCTGATAGCTTTACCATTCACTGGGGCCACTGTTGCCATCTTTGCAACCATTTGGGAGGCCTAGAAAGAAAACGCATGGAGGAAACATACCAGCTTCTTAAGGACTTCAATTTAAACTTGGAACATAACTATCCATTAACATTCTATTGGAGAGAACTGGTTAACTTGGTTCTATCTACCCTCACAGGCACCAGGAAATGTAATCTACCTTTGCAGTAAGGAAGACAATGTGCAAATTTCTGCCATAGGAAGTAAATAGCATTCCCCATTCTTTGGAGGAACAAGAAATATTGCAAATGGCTTCAATTGGATAGCCATCATTCAACTTCGAAGTTTTATCAAAAAATTACCCAAACAATCCAGGGTTTTCTTGTTTCACACTATTTTAATGCTAATTATCTTGAGAAATTCATCAAAAGAAAGAAAAACACCTAGCATGGATTCAAAGGAAACTCGTTTTTCTTTTTCATTTCTTACATATGTAATTTTCATTCTGATAATTGAAGAACTGCGAGTTTTGTCTTTATTTGTGTTTCATTTTTGTCAAGTAAATAATATTCAGTAGTAGTTTGATAACCATTCTTATATAAAAGACCACCCATTTCCCACGTGGATAAATAGGCTCTCAGAAACTACTTCATACAGAACAATGGAGGGCAAAGCGAATTGAACCATCTTCGAACTTTTCAAATCAGTATAAATAATCAAGAAAAGGAAGTCTGATATTGGTGCTAAGGCAAGACTTACCGTCTCGGAAGTAGCTCTTCATTATATTGCAGTGAGTGAAACAACGTGGAATTAAATATCTCTCTGTCTTTCTCTCACTCTCTCTCACACACAAAAGACGCACACATTTTTAAACTTATGGAAAACAAAGAGTGAAGTCTCAGACAACCAAGATTCTAAATAGGTTTGCTGAAAATTTTGAACAAATATATTTGCTAAAGTCTGCTGTTTTAACTGTTATCTTTTTCTGGAATAAATCCCTGAACTTTCAAGTTTTGGAACTGTTACAAATAATTCCACAATGGATATCTTTTATTTGTTTTTCTTCCAATTTTTGAGTAGTCTGTACATTTTGCTATTTGCTGTTTTTCCATATTATAAAATGTAGATATCCAATTTAATATAGTAATAATATTAATAAGTCAAAAACTATTCAGCCTCCCTTGCCCCAAAAATAAAACTCTTCTTTGGAAATTGGTTATGTAGTGATAAGGGGTGAGTACAGAGTCTTTGTTTTAAAAGGATGTCTCAAGGCAGTGGCCTGGCCTGGTAATTCTTAGGTCAGTGGTTGTGATGTAGCTTTTAATTCAGTTTCCTGATTTGGGGAAACCAGCTTTGCTGATTCAAGGGTGATTCATGAAAATCTTCTGGAAATCTGTTTCTTCTGAAATACCAACAATTTTTGCACAATCTTTATGCCTTAATAAATCTCTTTCTCATTAGTGTAGCTAGTATGTCCCTGTTTTCTGCAATTTCCCTCACTTCTCTCTCCCCCTCCACTTCTTCTTCCTCCCCTCTTTCCTCCTTTCCTTCACTTTATTCTGTCCTCATTGTTTACTAAGCAATGCTAATCAATAACAGCTCTACCAATATCATATCACCTGGCATGTCACATAAGCCCAGACAATCCTAGTTTCACATTTTCCCTGCACACAACTTGCAGCTTTGGTTTGGTTAAAGCCCATTTGATATGCTAAATATATTCCTACAAATAATTCTCTATAGAAGTAACTTTACTTTTAATAGCAGGATGATAATTTTTGTGAAATTCTAGAGACTTGACAGTCGCTTATAGACTACAAAAATTAAAGGATATAATAGATGAGATTTATTGATTTAATATCTCTGCATTTTGACAATGTGTTTATTAAAGACTACAATATCTATAATTTCATACACTTGTAATGATAATATAATGGTTAGTCTAGAAGTGAAATCTCTGATATAGTTAACTGACAAATGGAACAAATATTGGGACTTGAGTGAAATATGATAATAAGGAAAACTGATATCACCTTATACATATGTAGGTTCAATAGATTTTCATCATAAATCAACATCCTTGGCTAATCTGTATGAGTTTGAAACCATAGATCTCTGAAATATTGGTTCTTCAGAATCTCAAATAGGTGATTTTCTTGATTAAAGTGTGTTTGTTTATAATACTGTCTTTCTTATATTAGAAGAAAAATAATAGCAAAAATAACAAAACCTCTTGGGAAAATCAAATGTAACTCTTTTACAGAATTGAATAGCTGGAGCCAGCCTTACTTGTCTGAGCCGTGAAAGAAAAATGAGACCTGCAAAATCCTAGTGCCTGGGCTGTGATTGGCACTGGATATTCTGATTCCCAGGTCCAGTCTTCTTTATCCTATCTTATCACCTTCATGGAAGACAGAGTAAGTGGATGCGAATCATTTATAAGGGAGAAAGACATAATGCAGGCCCAAAGACTCTCTGTCACAAACCACACACACCCATTGGACAGAAGCTTTCTGACTTCTCTGATAATCTCCTGTCGCTGCTGCAAAGATCTATCTACAGACCCCTTTGCATCTTCCTTTCCTTGGGGCCGTAGAATAGGTTGGCTAATTTAATCAGTCTATTACTTTCAAGGTGCTAATAGATCCTAATGGCTTCAGATCTTGCCTTGTTTACATTGTAACAAGGCCTGTCAAATCATTTCAGTGACTGAACCTGGGAGTTTTAGTTCGACATTGTGAAACTCTGTTGAGGGACACCTGGAATTTTTATGTTACACGAATCAGCAGTTAATTTCACA